TTTGCTCTCTTTGATATACCACAATTTAACTTTTTTTTCCCCTTGTCCGTGTTCGCTGATTTGTTCTCTCTGCTCAAGTGCGAATTTTGTTGTTCTCGATTTTCACTTGCCGAATATTCTTCCTGTCGTTGAGCATTTTGATCTGCACTTTTGCGCCTATATGACCCCCCCCCCCTCCCCCTTGCATTGTGACTTTCGTCCCTACCTTGAGCGTTTGCAGTTGGGAACATTACTCTTTCCCACATCCGATTTTATTTTTATTTAGCTTAATTACGATAATACCCGTTGTGCACACCTGCGCACACGCACAGAAAAGAGCAAGAGCATTGGAAAGAACAACAAAAAATAATATAACATAAATAGTCATATAATATTTATGAATCTGTTAAAAAAAAAAATGACCCTCTTCTTTATTAGCACGTTCCACATCATGCCGAAATGAGGGTCTTCTAAAATATGGAACAAGATGTACTGGTTCAATCATCGTATTAATATCGATGACGCTGCTATGCTACACACCTCTAACTTTTTCCAATTGTACCAACTGACATTTAGTACCATTAGTTAAGTTCGTAGCACATTTTTTATACCACTGTACAAATACACATGAATTCGTCATTGTTTGATTAAACATGTTATTCGTTAAAATAGTACATTCTTGTGTGTACTATTTTGAAACGAATTTATGATGCAATGTATAGCGTGGTGGTATTCCAGATCCGTATACATCCGAACCTGGAGTAAAATCAGCTTTGAGACGAGGAGCAGAGTCAGTACATATATCTGTTGCGCTCCTCTCGTGGTTCGGATGTGTCCAGATGTGAAACACCACAGCAGAGTATATTACACTGTGTTATACGCCTCTGAGTCAGTACATGTATCTGCTGCCTCAGTACATATATCTGCTGCGCTCCTCTCCTGGTTCGGATGTGTCCAGATGTGGAACACCAGACCAGAGTAATATATTACACTGTGTTTTAACTTCACTTGGAGTTGAGCATCATACTCATCCGAATCAGAACAGTATAATGACATGAACTCGAGTTTGTAGGGAGTACATTGAGTTGTGGCTCTTCACAGACTTAGGGTGAGAGAGATAGAAAGAGAGAGAGAGACAGAAAAAGCGACAGAGAGAGAGACAAAAAGAACGAGAGACAGAGTCTCAGAGAGACTGTACTTAATTTTCTCGAGACGCCGCACAGGAGGCGCAGGGTCGAGCACACACGTAGACCATCAGCCTCGCTTCTTAAAGCATTTTAGATTATCGTTGTAGGAGAGAAGCAAGGTAATGTGAATTTCCAAGACAAGCGAAGTTCGGATGTATCCAAGATCACATGAGATACACAGAGAAAGGAAGTCCGCAAGAAATGGTCGTGTACATTTGAAGAGCGAGAGATATAGAAAGAGAGAGAGAGACAGAAAGAGCGAGAGATAGAGAGTCTCAAAGAGACTGTACTTCATTTTCTCGAGACGCCGCACAGGAGGCGTAGGGTCGAGCACACGCGTAGATCATCAGCCTCGCTTTTAAAAGCATTTTAGATGATCGTTGTAGTAGAGCAGCTAGGCAATGTAAATTTCCAAGATAACCAAAGTTCAGATGTATCCACAGGAGATAGACAGAGAGATGAAGTCCGCAAGAAATGGCAAAATAGCACGCTAGAGGGCTGAGAGATGGAAAAGACAAGCACCGTATAATCATCCACAATATTTTGTGTTACGGACGTTTCCTAAGTGTCGAACCAGTATAGACCCTTCAGTTCGAACTTTCCCCTGTGTTTTTTGGGACACATTTCAAGAAGTATTTTTTCAGAGAGAGAGAGAGAGAGAGAGAGAGAGAGAGAGAGAGAGAGAGAGAGAGAGAGAGAGAGACAGAGACAGAGACAGGGACAGAGAGAGACAGAGAGAGTGTGGATAATCGCACTGAATTTTCTTTTCATCCCGACATGTCGTACAGGAGACGCATGTTCGAGGAACACGTGAAAACCACAAGTGTAGCTATACAAGAGCTGCAAGGTTTTCGTTAGGCGAGAGTAAGCCAAGTTCGGATACATCCGAGATGACAGGGGAGAGGGAGTCCGAAGCAAACAGCAAATGAGCGCACTAGACACAGTTGTGGGTGTGTATGTGCGCGCGCGCGCGCGCACGCGAGAGGGAGAGAGAGAGAGAGAGAGAGAGAGAGAGACGAAGTTGAATCTTGAAGTCCTTTTTCGAAAATTGAAGACCAATCATACAATATTCATTTTTTCTTGAGTGCCAGCTCAATTCAATTTGTGTCACTTTGTAGCACCAATCGGCGAGGAGGGCTAGACGGGCCATCAGAAAGCACCCAGCGCGGAGGGCTAGACGGACCATCAAATGTATAAAGAGGCCCTTGTGTTGCATTTTCGGACCATAAAAAAACACCCAGCGCGGAGGGCCACACGAACCATCAAATGTATAAAGAGGCCCTTGTGTTGTATTTTCGGGCCATCAAAAAACACCCAGCGCGGAGGGCCAGACGGACCATCAAATGTATAAAGAGGCCCTTGTGTTCTATTTTCGGGCCATCAAAAAACACCCAGCGCGGAGGGTCAGACGGGCCATGAAATGTATTAAGAGGCCCTTGTGTTGTATTTTCTTCTCTGTGATGCCTCACGACCTTCAAAGTGAAAATGCATAGATGAGTGTAGACGACGGGGAAGGTTCAAGAGAGAGGCAAAAAAGCATAGAGATAGTTGGAGTTTGGATGCATCCGAGTATGCGGGCAGAACATCACATCACACAAGACACAAAATGACGAAAGCGAGAAAGTCAATCACGAAACAGGCGCTCGAACAACGGGGACGTTCGTGAGAATTGAAAGCCAATGAGAAAGAACAATATTGTCGACGACAAACACGTCGGGGACATGACAATTTCACCCGCAGATATCCTGGGAGTGACAGCCAGTTCTGCTCCGAACCAAACCGAGAACACCCACCAGTCTCTCACGGAAAAAATGAAAAGGAACAAATTTCCTCCGGAGAAAAACGAAATGTTCTTCTAAGTCAACCCTTCTACACTACATGATCAGCAAAAAGATAGACGCTTACCTACCAACATCGCAAATCGCCAAAGCTAGTCTAGCTCTGATAGAGGAGATGTGTCTATGGGAGAAACCAAAAGGTGGACATAAACCTCTCGCCAAACAGGAAGCGAACATCAACATGAACACCCCACAACTTGCCCCGTCGTGCTGCTGAGGGACACCTTTCACGCTGACCTCGCGAGCGAAGTGGTCGAAAGTGCGACTATCACCGGCGACACCTGCCACCGTGTTCAAAAATTTAACAGATTTATCTAAAATTGCGGAATAGAAGTCATTTTTGGATGACGAACACGAGAAAGAATCATAGATTTCCAAAACACGTCTAGAGAAGTCAATGGCCAAAAGGCTCCAGTGTTCGTCGTCCTTGTGCACTGGTGCCAAGACGAGGTCATGAGACAGGAGGTCCACATCTTAAGCCCATCTGCAAACGGTTGCCGGACCTCGCAGAAGCAGTGAAGAGGCGAAGAAAGAGTTAAAGGTGTACGTCTTCTTGGTAGCAGCAGTCCGGTCGCAGTCGTCCAGTAGCATCGCCATGTAGAAATCGACGACCTCATCGTTGAGCTCCCCGGATCCATCCACGAGTGCGACGATGTCCTTGACGGAAACCTGTAAATTTTGCGACGGCAAACGCGCGACGATGATAGTGAGCGGCAACCGGGAGCAGATAACGTCTTCAAGGACTGTTCTTCCATCTCTAGGAAACCCTGTTCAACAAACACCCACAGCACACAGCAAGCACAAAGGATGGGGCACTATGAGAAAATGTCGTCCTAGCGGTCATGGTCCGACGAACCGCTACTCTGTGGCCCGAAACGTTCACGCATAACGTCACCCCTACTTTTGGACCTTCCACACACAGTTGATTTTAAACTAGCATTGTCCTTCTTTATATCCCTGCAAGCCTCGAGAAGGAATTCCTTGCAGTCTTTTTCGCCAACACCCGCTGCCTCTGCAACGAGTCTAGCGCGAGGGCCCAATACGGGCACGACAACCCTTCTGGGAGGGCCTCGAGGTTTAGTCTCCCCAGGAAATGAATCAGTGACATTGCGACGACCAGTGCCTCCCGCAACTAGGACTGACAACCTGGCGAGGGCAGGCGGCTCCTGCGACATGTGTGTTTGTCCACGAGCTCGGCGACCTGTACAAGAAATAGCCACCCAGACAGTTCAGCAGGAGATCAACAACACAACTACGCAAGCGCAACCAAGCAAACAGCACCTCACGAAGCACATCGTCAAATCCAGTTGGCGGCCGCGTACACACCTCCCCGAAATCGACGAAGCAAACAACACGTCACGAACGGGCTGACGAGCGTGAAGCAAGCAGAGGAAGACATTGCTCACCAGGCTTAGCTTCAACGTCACTAGAGCCCACCGATGGCAGTCCCAACACGATTGGCGCCCCCGTGCGCGTCGACGTGGCGACGACGTGCTCCAAACTCATAGGGAAACTTGACAGGTTCGAGATGTCGGCGTCGATGACCAGAGACGGCATGAATTCATCCCCATCCCGATGGCGGAAATCCTCCACGTCCGCGACGGGCAATTTTAGTCTGTCCGTCTCCGGACAAAGAGCGTCGACGTCCACAACATCGACAGGTTGGGTTTCCTCCGTCGCCACTGTGTCGCATTGTGTTGTGCTCAAGGTCCCATGGATGTCCAACAATACCTCTCCCCCCCTTAACTTCTTGTCCTCGTGCGCTGTGTCTTTATCGTCGTCACTCAAATAGAGAAATCTATCTCCAACAGCGTCAGAGGACTTCTTTAGAACGTCCTCTCCCATCGCCTCGTCGTGAAGGCCGAAGTACAAGGGGTCGTTGTATGCCGGCTAAACTGGTTGCTCCATCCCGACGTCGCCGAGTGTCGGATCAATCCGGTCGTTGGCGGAATCGTCCTTGTCCAAAGTCGTCAGAAGTCGACAACCGTCAAGTCCTTCGTCCGTGTGTTTCGGATGAATCCAAATTACGGTCGTCTCCAAACCTGCATCAGGGAGGGACATGCTCATAGGACCCTAGTTCGGATTCATCCGAGCCACCCCAGTTTCCAACGGCGATGACGTGTCCGCTTTCACCGGAGAGTCGCTAAAAACTGCTAACTCAGCGCGTACCGTCACCAGGCATTTGGCTCCGAGTGTGCGGGGCTCGACATTGAAACTGGTCGCTAACTCACCCTCAGTCGGACAGTCTGCCTGCAGCTCCTTGTGGACTTCCATGCACAGCATTACGGCGTCCTGACACCGGTCGTCTGTCATGGCGGACACGTCCTCCTGGTTCGGATGAATCCGAATTTCGCCCCCAGGGTTTTCGGAAACCCAGACCACCCGTTTTAGTTCCGCAGACCGTTGTGCTTTCTCAACGGTACTGGCTTCCCGGTTCGAATTAATCTGAACTTCCTTTTGAGGTGAAACCGAACATGGTTGGAGCTTGTCGCTGCCGGATCCGTGGTATGTTGTCGTCTCGCTTCCCGGAAGGCACTTAGTTCCGGACGACGATGTCGTCTCCGAGGTTCGGATAGATCCGAGACAATCGGCCAACCATTTTTGGAGCTGAGCGAAGCAAGTTCCATTCTTTGCTACAACTGCCCCGCCAACAGCATCGGTATACTGTGTTGCGCTGGTGGAGCTAATCACAGAGTTCTGCTCGCCAAGCCGTGTAATCCACCCAGGCCTGAAGTCGTTCCCCTTCTCCATTGAGGTGCTGCCTGTCACCGCCAGAACCCCACCGTCCTCGTCGCGGTCGACATCGGACCCCTGCTCGTCTCCTGTGTGATGTTTTGTCTTCTTTCTGCTGCGAGGTTTTTTCTTCTCCCGGCTCCCATTTTTCCCCTCTACGCCGCCTGCGTGCCAGGGAGACCGCTGTTTCGTTGAACGCTGTTCACTTCCACCTCCGGTACCTCGTTGCCCGCCGCCTTCACCATCCCCTTCGCCGTCCTTTCCGCGAGACTTGCGCATCACAACTCCTGCCGGCGGGGTGCCCGCAGGCAACTCCCAACTCACTTGCTTAATTGACGGGTTTGACAGAAGGGCGCAGAACGCGGAGGACACTTCCAACCATTTACTTGACTGCAATAAATCGAACAGCGTGTCCCCGTATTCGCGCAGAGCAGGGTCGTCCTTACTTCGTCGATTGACCTCACTTAATCTCTCCAAAACCGCATCGTAGGCGCGAGATTTGAATGTCTCGAGGTCCCAACGATCGTTATATATCCACCCTCCACTTACGTCCCTCACAGCCACTGCCCATTCGATTTCGACCCACACCTGTTTCGTGAGGCCCTACGGCCCGAACTCCTCCAGAAGCCGCCCCTCGGTGCGGAAAAAAGGGTTTCCGTAGCGCCAAACACGTTCGTCCGCCTCCGTTTCAAGGAACAAGATGTAGTGGAACATACGGAGCATCACACGGTCCACTTTCGTCGTCACGACCATGTCTTTAATTCCTGGTTTATGCTGACGCTTCAGATGGCCGCCCACGGATTGCACGAACACTCCCCTTAGCGCGAGAATGTCGTCAAGGATCGACAGTTTCTCGACATCGGTCATGCCTGCGAGACACTGCCAACAGAACATGTCTGGCTCCTTCACGACCACGAAAAACTTGTCGTCCGCTTGCGTTTTCTCTTTGGTCGAAGGCGGCGGGACTCGGACCAGCCACCCCATCTTCGTTTCACCAGCCGCCCCTTTCGAGCCCATTTATGGAATTGCTTGCAGACCTGGAGATTTGTCTGGCATGTATTTGCCCGGCCTCGACAATGGCGTCTTGGCGTCGCCGCCCAACAACTTCCCCTCTGCCCATTTCGCGTAGAATTCCAACCGCCCATGTGGAAGGGAGTCGCAGGAGCCTTGAGATGGGGATGGTCCGGAGGAACTCGATGGCCGGGTCGAAGACGTTCGGGCTGCAGTGTGAGACAAATAGGCTCCCCCGGCGAACTCCTCAAACGGGACAACCCACCCCTCTTGACAGGCGCTGAGGAGGACACGGGCGTGGGGCCGCCCGAGGTGGGTGTAGCGAGAGGTGTCCCCGGTTTGCATACTGACGGCGACTTAGAAACTTGGGCGTTGAAGATGGCCAATTGCCCGTCCAAATCAAAGAGGTCGTCCTCAACACTCTCCTCCTGCTCAGTCTCGATATTGAAGTCGTCCTCCTCACCGAATGTCAGCTTGTAGTTATCCAAAGTGAAGTCGGCCGGATCGACAACATCCTCGTTAAAAAATACATATTCCAGCCTCTTAATGAAGCTCACAGCGCCGGCCCGACTCGCTCCGTGGTAGCCCAGGAGGACCGCAATGGCGACTTCCTCTTGCACCACGTACTGCGGGTCAAATCTCAACCTCGGTTGTTCATCGTAAAGGAAGGAGTAGACCTGGCGCCTTTTCTTCGGAGTCAACTTGAAGAACATGTCATTGTTCGGGTCATAAACGGGCTCGACCACGACATGGTGGAAATCGCATGGGTAAGCCTTGGACGACACTTCATGGGTGACATACTGCACGGTGTATTCGAGCTACGTTGTGTCCCCATCCACGGCCAAGACGTGCCTTCCCTGCTGAAGCAGACTCCACACCACCTGCGCGTGCGGCTTGCCCAAGAACAGCACGGCATCCGCCACACCACAAAAGAAAAGAAGCTGATTGCATAACTGATTCGGATTCCGCTCGCCGTCCTTGTACAGAGCCCCCCTCTGGGTGAGGTTTCCGATGTCCGCGAAAGTCAAGGACTTGAAAAACTTCTCCTCCACATCCGTCGGTGCCACTTTCTGTTTCCTCCGGAGAGCGGCGGCGTCGTCTTCAGCAACAGCTCCCTCGTACACCGGGTGAGTCAGTAGCCGAAGATCCTCGCCTTTGAAAAGGATGTGCATCACATCCGGCTCCTCCCAGACGTTGTTTCCGAACCGATGCGTCTTCTTCGCTGCCGTCTTCCGAACCCACTTCCCCGTGTAGCATCGGATAGCCCCAAGCGCAGACAAAGATGTCATGAAGGAGAGGTTCCACAGGGAGGGAACGAATACCACCAATGTCCAGTAGTCCTGACAAACGAAGCCCAACAACTCACTTAGAGACGTGAATGCCCCAGAATCCCATTGCGCACGGTCCACAGTTCCGCACAAGTCGAGCACGCAAGTGTGGGAGCGTAGCTGATGCCCTAGTTTTCCCAGCGCCTCCTTATGATCTATGGCACTCAATGGGTCGACGTTAAACTGGGCCAGCGTCGGCAAGGCGCTTGTCCTCGTCCACATAATGTTGATGCATTCATCAACGCCCCGAGGGTTTTTTTTGCCTTTGGCGCAATCTCCTGTGATCACCGAAAGGACGACACGCTTCCACTCCGCTAGGAAATGCTGGTCATTGATGAGGGTCGCCGTTCTCTTGATGTTGTTGTCGTGTTCACACCCGGGAAACTGAGGGCACTTGTTGACGTACGTGGAGTCCGTGAAAAATTTCCTGCTCTCGTTCCAAAGCTTGTCGTCGAGACCTTTGTCCTTGAACTCTTCCAACAGTTGCTTCTTGGACCTGAAGAACGTGGAGTTGGCATTCCACTCCCGCTTATCCATTTCCTCATACTCGAACTCCACGTAGTGTCACAGCCTCAGCATAATCCGGTTCATTTTTATTATGTCGACCATCTCCTTGACACTGAACTTCCCCTGCTCGGCCAACTTCTTGCTACTCGTTTGAACCCACACGACGTTAAGGTTCAAGACGTCGTTGAACAACCTTTTCTTCTCGCGGTCCGTCAAGTCCACCAATTCCTTCCAGCAGTGGACATCCGTCTCAGGAACTTGGACGTAGAAAGTTTTCTCCTCCACGCCTTTCTTTGGCTTCCCCTTGCCCTTGTTCAACGACGGGTCGTCCACCTTCACGTACCAGACGTGTTTCTTCAGCCCCTGGCTGTCAGTCATAGTGGAGAGTCCTGGCTTGGCCACCTCCTCATGGGTGGGCGGCTTTTCAGTCCAACGCCGGCCGTCGGAAGCAAGGAGTTTCCCTTTCGACCACTCCTCATAGAACTTCTCTCCCAAAGCGAAGACGGAGTCATCTGCCATGGCCAGCGGGAGGTAGTATCGAAGTTTCTCAGCCCATTCCTTTCTTTTCTTTTCTTCCGTTGACAGGTTCCACAAAGGCGTGTACTGTGTCTTCTTCATAGCCAACGCCATGAACTGCACCCACTTTCGCACCTCGTCCTTTTTCTTCGACGCATTGTCGAACACCACACGCAGTTTGCCCTTAATTTTTCAGATATTGCGAATGTCCCGCATAGACAAAATCTGCAAGCGCGGTGGATTCTTCTTGTCTTTCATGTTGTCTTCGCAGCTGACATGGGCGTAGCCGTCGAACTCGTCGTCAGGGAAGTAGATCGGTCTGAACGGCCATTTACAAAAGTTGTAGTACTCAAACACGGGATGGTCTTTCACCTTCATCGCCGCCCTCGCGTTATGTTGTCCACACACAGGATAATACCAGTATTTCTCCGACTGTGAGTTGTCGAAGTCAGCAGGCAGCACGCGCACAGCAGGCTCGCCGTTCTCTGGAGGCACGACGATCGGAGCGAGAACGAAAATGGACTTCGTGTATCTCATGTCTTTACATTCGTAGCAGTCGATCATAGCCGACGCGATGGTATCAACGAGGAACTCGTCCAAGGATCGGTGGTTGTACGTGTCTTCCCAGTCTGGAATAGCTAATATTCTTTCGGGATGGATGTGCAACACGACGTCCTTCTGCACCCCTGTCTGCATCTCGAGGAAGAACGCATTGTCGAGGTTAAAGTCGTTGAGGTTAATCTCCACGTCGTCATCTCCCTCCCCGCTGTCGCCCCCATCTGCTTTCTTCCCCCTCGATAATTTTGACCGTTTTCCGGAAGACTCACCGGTTCTTCGCTGTGTCGACGAGTCTTTTGGCGTTTCATCCCCACCTCCAACCCTTTTCCTCTTCTCAACGGAACCGCCCTCTCGTGTTGTTGGCGTCCGAGCACTCCCTCCTACCTTTCTCTGCCTTTTCATAACACCTACTCCCTCTTGCTCTTCCTCATCTGGCAAGTTGCGCTTTCCTTCCGACTGAGTCTTTTCAGCCGATCTCTCACGGAACAGCCCCTGCTCGGATACCTCCTCCTCACCGGCGACGTTCCCACTTGCTTCTCGTTCCTGGCTGAACTCCGTCTGCAGTTGCGCAGGCGCAGGTCGGGCCCGGCGAGTCGTCTCATCTGACCCACGCACCTCTCGAACCTGCGGACCACCCGCGCGATCTCCTGGCGAAACCTCGGCCACCTGCATGCCACGAACGAACGAACCAATCCTTTCGACCAGACCATGAGGAGTCGTCGATTCTGAGCCCTGTCGCAACCGTTCGCCATTGCTGCCTCCACGTGGCGTCGACTCCCCAAGCAAACCTTGGCGGCGAGATCCATGCAAGCCCGGTTTCGAAGGAGCACGCGGATGGTCGTCCTCCGAGTCGTCTGACATGCCCACCTCTTGATTAGGAGGCGTAGCTGGCAGGCCACCCTGACCTCCCATCCCCCTTTGAGAGCACTCTCCTCCCGCGAACCCAACAGGACCACTGATCGATGTCCCAGGTCCGACGTCCACGGCACTGACAGAGGTACCAGATCTCGCCCAGACCTCGAGGAAGTTTGTCACGTGAACGGCCTCGTCGTGCCCCGGCGCTAGCGGGACAAAGTACGGCAAAGACATCGCACGCCGGTCGTACCCGCCGAACATCCTCCCGGCAACCTTGCATCCCTTTGCGATGTCGTCGACGGAACCATCACTTCTGTAATGCTTCTTCAACATAAACTTGAAATTGTATTCGCCAACGTCAACCCACTGGGCGATGGACCCTACGAGACGCGTTCTGTCGGCGTGAACGGCGACGAACAAGAGCGGCCCGCATGGTGGTTGCAACGGGTCGGAGCCGTCCTTGCTCGCCAAGTCCAAATACCAGACACGTTTGTTGTAGTCGCACCACAAGTTTTGAGCCCGTCGTTCTTCCTCCCACCGCCACCTCCCCGACTCGTTTCCCTTGCCGGCGACGACGTCGTCCCTCGACGCTCCTCTCCATGTGGGGCGGAACCACCACCGGAGCGGCTTCGTCCGTGTGTAGCCATTCCCTGAAACACACGGAGGAAATGAACCCACATGCACTCAGAATAGTCAGCACGTCCCAACATCAACCACGACCCACAGCACGTATTCTGTTATCGGTCACCCGGACCCCAAAACAATGAAGTTCAGTCATAGTTAGACGATAGTGGTCCCCACACCTGCACGTTTCGGATGAATCCGAGGCATCGTGAGCCATCCTCGTCACAATGCCCTTAAGAGAACGAATGGTCGAAAACGAAGACCGCGGGATAGATCGGATACATCCGAAGCAGGCGCAGTCGAAAAACCGACGTCGCATAGGCACCTGCACCGGGAAAAGCAATACCTCGCAAGAAGGCACTAGAACGCTAACACAGCAGACGAAGACGTGCACCCCGTGGTGATATGGTGTCATCCGAAGTCATCAAGCGTATTATAAAGTTTATCAGTGTAGTTCGGATGCATCCGAGCTCCGAAGTGGTGTGGACCACCCCCTTGCGGCCCGGACCAAACTGAACTCGAGTTTTCTTGTCCTTCTGAGTCGGTAACGGTTGTGACTCGGATGCATTCGAATTCGAACAGCGCGGTCCAGAGACGGTCGTCCACAAGAGGTCGCCATCCACAGCACGTGTTTTCGTCATCGACCTGTGAGCACTGGGTTAACCCTATCCTGCCGAAGGTTTGGTTCGGTTGAACCTGAACTTCGCAAATGTGGCCCGGATTAATCCGAGACGGGGACCGGCGGATGGACCCCACGGTCTGTTGACGCCCATCCATTCGTCCAATCTTCCGTTATTCCCCAACTTTCCTTGGGTCCACCCGAATTTCGCACGGTGTGTCTTCGTCCTTGAGTGTTTAAGACGGGTGTGGCTCGGATTTATCCGATTTCGACAAGGGCTGTCCCGACACGTGCGACCACAACAGGCTGCGCCGACAATACCCTCTGCGCATCTGGTAAATCCGAACAAGCCATTAGTGTGGTTCAGATTAATCCGACTTCGTCGAGGCGCTTCGGTTTGTTGTCGCCCCACCACACACCGGACCTCCCCGCGATTGTCGTAGTGTGTCATTACAATCTGTGCGTCATCACGGGGGATGTCGTCGTCCTCGTGAGTTTTAGTTGGTTGTTGCTCGCCCAATCCAAACAACAGACACGTTTGCTGTAGTCGCAGCACAAGTTTCGAGCTCGTCTTTCTTCCACCCGAGCGTCACCATCTCGACTCGTTTTAGTTGCATGAATCCGGGGCATCGTTAACCCTCGTCATCAGACTGCCCTTCGTAGAGCAAATGGTCGAAGACGAAGAAAGCGGGGGTGTTCGGACACATCCGAACTGGGCAAAGTCGAAAGACCGACGTTATGACTTGGATGCATCCGAATTAGCACAATGCGAGACAAAAATGGCCGACCACAAGAGGAGGCCATCGGCGTTGTCGTGTTTTTCTCAATGACCTGTGAGCATAGGGTGGACCCTATCCTGTCGGAGGTGTAGTTCGGATTAATCCCAGACGGGGACCGGTGGATGGACGACACGTTCTGTTGACAACGTATGATTTCGTCGTTCACGTTTATCAGAACGTGCGACGTCGTAAATACTGTCTGAGCATGTGACAAATCCAAATTTGTCGTCAGTGTGGTTCGGATTAATCCGAACTTCGCCGAGGTGCCTCGGTTAGTGGTCGCCCCGTGAGTTTTAGTGGSTTGTGGCTCGGATGCAACCGAAATTAACAAGGGTGGCTCGGACACGTTAGTTGTTGCGCCACCAAAAGATGGTATGGACAGGGTGGGTTGTCGTCCTCCTGGTTGGTCAGACATGTCGCCGTCGACAATACCCTATGAGCATCTGACCGTTCTGTGTCCTGTCCTGTGTCCACGTCAGCGGAAGGGTTCCTCGCGGCGTTCGGCTGACGCGAGGTTTGATAGGGTTTAAATATTTGAATTCACGTTCGCGTCCTGTGTCTTCGGATCTGTCGTAGCAGTCTTCGGATTACTGATTTGTGATTGCACTCAGGGGGGACCAACCTAAGATCGGTTGAGCGACTGTCTGCGATACACAAAGATTGGAGAAAGGCAGAAAATACGCATAGACACGGAAGGGAGACTAAGATCGATAGAGCATGGGCAGCGAGAGAGCCTGTCTTTATCTCTCTGTCTCTCCATGTGCAGATCCTGCGGATGGTGTTGTCCATTTCGGAATTCACAATGTGACCCACTAATAAAACTGCGCAAAAGAAATATAAGAAAAAAATGTTCGTGTCGGCGAGAGGAAGAGTGACGAAAAATGTGAAAAAATCGACGAATGTGGAGCACAATTTACGGATACAGAACCGAACGCCGCGCGAACTGCACAACGTGACTTACGCGGGAAAACGAATAAACAAACTGAACGCAATAAAAATTAATTCGGCGAGAAGAACGTCCATGTGCAATCCAGAAGACACACGATTCGTGAGAAACCATGTTCTCGTGTTCGACAACATACGACTAAAATCCTTATACCGCAGTTCATGAGAGAGACAACAAATTGACGACAAGCTAGTAACACTTCAAGAAAACATCTGAAGTGACGACAAAATCTTGAAGGGCGTGTCACAACATTCTCGGGCTACATTCGCGGGTCCCGTTTCGTTGGTGATCACTCGCCCCGATCAGAAGGCACACTCGCACGTCCACGTGTCAGCTCCTGAACATGCGTGGCCACACTGATGGATGCGGGGCTCAATTCGACAACATTCCGTTGTCGCATTGAGCCCCGCATCCATCAGCGTGGCCACGCTTGTTCAGGACGTGACACGTGGACGTCTAAGTGTGCCATCTGATCGGGGCGAGTGATCGCCAATGAAACGCATGCATTCTTGCTCTCGAAACTCCTTCATCTCGCCCCGATCAAACACTCACACGTCCACATGTCAAGTCTTGAACATGCGTGGCCGCGCTGATGGGTGCGGGGCTCTAGTGGACAACATTCTGCTACCACATAGAGCCTCGCATCCATCAGCGTGCACACGCTTGTTCAGGAACTGATACGTGGACGTTTGAGTGTGCCATCTGATCGGGCGAGTGGTCGCCAATGGAACGAGATCCGCGAACGCACCCCGAGGTAAGTTCGGGAAAGAAACAGGCCAACGCATAAGACGAACGAAATAGAGGAGCTGAAGACAAACTAACGACGGGGACGAAGATGGTAGTTGAACACGACGGCACACATGTCCACGTGTCAAGTCCTGATCATGTGTGGCCACGCTGATGGGTGCGGRGTTCTATTCGACAACATTCTGTTGCCGCATAGAGCCCCGCATCCATCAGCGTGCCCACGCTAGTTCAGGACCTAACACGTGGACGTGTGAGTGTGCCATCTGATCGGGGCGAGTGGTCGCGAATGGAAGGAGATCCGCAAACACACCCCGAGGTAAGTTTGGGAAAGAAACAGGCCAACGCATAGGCCGAACGAAACAGAGGCACTGAAGAGAAACTAACGACGGGGACGAACATGGTAGTTGAACACGACGGCACACATGTCCACGTGTCAAGTCCTGATCATGTGTGGCCATGCTGATGGGTGCGGGGTTCTATTCAACAACATTCTATTGCCGCATAGAGCCCCACATCCATCAGCGTGCCCACGCTTGTTCAAGACCTGCCACGTGAACGTGTGAGTGTGCCATCTGATCGAGGCGAGTGGGTCGCTAATGGAACTAGATTCGCGAAAGCAGACCGACGCAAAAGACGAACGACATAGAGGCACTGATAGAAAACTAATGACGGGGACAATGATGGTGGTGGAACACGATGCTGTTGGTTCTGTCTCGTTCATTTGTCTGCGCTTGTCATTTACGTTCGCAAACTTTGTGCGAACGACACAGACAAGCGCAGTAAAACGAACGAGATAAAAGACAGAAAGAGAGATAAATAGATAGCGAGAGAGAGAGAGAGAGAGCGAAAGAGAGGCGATCTCCGCCTTCATCACATGACCCAATCAAACGTCACGATCAAATGGCCCCGAACGTCACCCCGATCACACATCGGACTGACGGAGAGAAATCCCTGTAAGATTACACGACACTGCTCGTTCACGGCGACTGAACCCAATGTAATCGCCACCGAGCGAATCCCGACTACAGATCCCGTACATGTGTGGGCATTCTGACGGTCTACGCAAACCCAGCATGGCAGGACTTTTCAGGTCGGTGGAGATGGCGAGAGAAAGAGAGACAGAGACAGAGAGAGAGAGAGAGGGAGGGAGAGAAAGAGAGAGGGAGAGAGACAGAGAAAGAGAGAGAGAGACAGATAGAGAGAGAGAGAGAGAGAGAGAGAGAGAGAGAGAGAGAGAGAGAGAGAGAGAG